CGGTTTGAGCACCGTTTGAGCACCGGCACCGTTTCAAAAGTACCGATTTGGCACCGGTATCGGATAAAACCTAAACGATACCCATCCCTAGTCCAGAAGAGAGTGCAGTCAGGGTGGAGTGGGTGGAGACGAGTGTCAGGAGTGATTTTAGACAGAAGGATAAAAGCAAGAAGCTACAAGATGCTGGAGAGCTGCTGTGATGTTAGAGAGGCAAGGCAGGAATGATTTGGACATGTGCACAGAAGGGATGGTAGATATATTGGACAAGGATGTTGAATATGGAGCTGCCAAGCAGGAGGCAGAGAGGAAGACCTCAGAAAAGATTCATGCATGTAGTGAGGTAGGACATGCAGGCGCTCGGTGTGACAGAGGAGGATGCTGTCTGTCACACGGTGGAGTTCCTGCAGATCCCCAACTGCACTGGCTGAGACTCAAACCATGACAGAGCCTCCACTGTGTTTCACAGATGGACACACTGCTGTACCTCTCTCCTGACCTCTCCTGTACACACTGGCCACGATTTGAACCAAAAATTTCAAATGTAGATTCACTCCACAAGACTCGTTGCCACTAATTTTAAGTCCAATTTGGCAAACCTCTCCCTGTTTCCTTTCATTAAGAATGGCTTGTGGACAGCCACTGAGAACATTTCTGAGGAGGCTTCAGCGAACAGCAGATGGATCAGCTGAAGGGCCAGATGCATCTCTCAGGTCCTGTGTCACGGCTTTGCTTGTGTGTTTTTTTTCATGTAACTCTTTAGGACAGGACGTTCAGAGACTGTTCATCTGCTGTAGACAGGCCTGCCACCTCTTTAATCCTCCACAGATGTTTAAGGACTCGCTGCGCAACATAAAAATGAATGAAAAAGCAGCCAACCTCCAACCTTCATGAAGCCTGGAGCAATACTGCTCAAGAGCACTTTACAAACATACCAAGAGGGTGTCAGTCACCTCGATAGCAAAACAAAGTTTGCACAGTACTGTGTGTGTGTGTGTGTGTGTGTGTGTGTGTGTGTGTGTGTGTGTCTTCATTAGTATGAACAAAATGTAAAAGTGTTTAATAAAAGCTTGACTGAATTTGTACAGGTTTTATTCAGAAGTCGTTTATTTAAACTGTTCGAGTTGTCACAAATCAACACTCATAAAAGTCAAATGCAGGTTTCATGAGGACATAAAGTGTCTCCTGCTTTTATATCTTCTTAAAAACAACATCCAGGTGAGTCTCATTCACTGCGTCGGCCGTTTACTGCGCCAGCATTTCACTTTAAACCCCCTGCTGTGAGGTGGGCGTCAGTGACATCACACCCCTGCACAGACACGCCCTGTTTCTAGCCCTATCACAGCCGTCGTTACATAAATGATGACTGGATTAGCATGTTCACCTGCAGCAGCATGGCGGGAAGACACATGTAAAATCTCACTAGCAAGCATCAGAACACAATTTGGTAAATATTAAAATATACAGCTCCTAATATCTCTACATTCATTTTTAACCAGGAGCATTGCATCGATGCATTTAACGCTACTGTCTAAAATAGCTCAATAATGCCCATCTGTGTGAATCAGGTAGAAATGACAACACAAAAACACGTAACACACGTTACAATAAGGCCTTTTCTGTGTGTTGTTCCAAACAGGGGAACCCTGGTAGCACATAGACTTCATATCTTAGTGTTCAAAACACAGCAGCCAAGGCACAAAACAAAAGACCCGAGTAGGAAATCATGCTGCCCGTGAGAAAAAGACACGATGCACAGACACGCACACGGTTCACGTCCGTGTTTGTAGAAGAAATACTTTTTGTAAAGGCATCAGAAAGGGCAGCGTCTTCTTTGTGCACCAGGGGGCGCCATAGTTCTCCTAAAAAGTCTAAATCTGTCGCAGAAAAATACAACTTCTTCAATCATACGAGGGATTCAAATACAGATTACAGTGAATAATGAATAAAAACAGCCAATAAAGTGATTTATCAACAGATTTACTACAATCAGAACTGTGTGCATGAGCAGCCATGTGGACATAAATCAGAGTAGTTTGTTCCATTTAAAATAGATTACACCATATTATACACAAGAATTAATATGTTTTAATACAAACAATATTTTTTTAAGTTCTCACTCAAAAAAAAGCAAAGATGAACTAAAACGCTGTCCTGAATATTTTCAAGTTCTTATACTACAGGGACCAGAAACGGCATCGCAGTGATCACGCGCTCTCATCATATGTGTTCTTATTGTTTTGATATTAGTGTTATGAGTGGTGTCACATTCGGTGGATCAACAATCATCTGTGCTTCTTTGCTCAGAGGCAAACCTACCCTGACCTGAAATCATCAACGGACCATGTTGGAGACATGGAAGTGGAAGCGAAGCCGTGGACTCGATGTGAAGCCACTATCTGGTTTTGGGTAGTCTGCTGTTTCTATTTGTCTGGTTGGTCAGGTTGTTCAGGACGCAGTTGTTAGCCAGCGATGCCAGTCTGGAGTTAATCGCATCCTTCCTCTGCTCCCAGCTGCACTCACCCCTGTCTTCCTCTTCTTCTTCATTGTCATCTACCGGACTTTCCTCGTCGCTGCGCACGTCACCCTCGATCTGTGGAGAAGAATAAAAGTTAACCATCCGATTCCTCGTTTCCTGCTATCGCTGCTGCTTAAACAGCCCCTCGTCTCACCTTGCCCACGAAGGCAAACCTGTAGACCATGCGCAGGATGAGATAGGCCCAGTAGATGTGCAGCAATTGTAGCACGAACAGAAGAGCGTTGAAGAAATAATAACCAAAGAAAGGCTCGTAGAACTGCATTGAAACGATCAGGGTGGTGTGGATGATCCTGGAGGGCAAACACAGAAACAGTGAGATCAGCTGTTCCTACAAACTCTCGGGCTTCAGAGCATCGTGTGTCGTACCGATAACGGGAAACTTTATCTGTGCTCTAAGACAAACTGTACATCAAACCTAGTTGGACATTTGCACACCAACACATGAAACTACGTCTGATTTAACAGTTTCTTACCTGCTTGGAAAGACATACAGCCTCGTGACGAGGAACACCAGAGCAAAGAGGACAAACAGGACGTCGCATGTCTTCGCCCACAAGGCGTAGTGTAGCATCTTACCCACCTGTCAGAAAAAGGAAGGTAAAAGTTCCTGTGACTTAGAAAAGACAGTGAAGACGTTTAGGTTAAGTGCTGTGGGTGTGAGCCCACCTCCCCACAGCTTCCTGTTCATCGGCCCCTGACAGTAACGACCTGCTCAGGTGTTTTCAGGTTATGTCATCAGGTTTGATTTGTGGTCATACAATTACTGATGTTCTAATCTCGGACGTACGCCAGGGTCAGCTCCACCCCCATTTTCACTTTTAAATATAAAAAGTCATTTTTAAACATCGAGCACTTCAGTGTGTTTGTCCTGCAGGGGTCTCAGATCTGAACAGGTTCAAGTGTAAAGACGTCACCTGAGTTTACTGACTCGAACGTTATCTCTTTGTTCCAGGTGGTTTTTAGCGCAGCCAGAGAGAAAACAAGTGGGTGTGGCTGGCTCGAAATCAAACCTCAGACTCACTGATGAACTCACCTGCACTCAGTAACTAATCATCTATTGGATATGAAGCCAGCATCGTTTTCCCTTTATGATTTTTATCAGCGTCCAGGCGACACCCTGTCACGCCCGAGTTGACACGACTGCATATTTCCTCATCTCATGTAACGCGGAAACAATCATCATCGTCACTTCTTATCATTGAAACAGCCTCACAACACCCACGGACAAAGGAACAACTGTCACCGAGGTGGTCAAACCTTTACAGCCAGGACAAGCAACAACAGAACGAAACCTCTCGCTGTGCGCGGCTCACAGGACGTGTGTGCTCGTATGAAAGAAGAAGGAAATTCACAAAAATACACAAGTTCCTCGTTTGTGCAATAATCTGCCATTTTAAACGTTTGTGTGCGAGCATAACGATGCAGTCTCCTCCACACTGCGCCGTGCAAAAGTCTCGAACCACCACTCAGTGTTTTATATTTTGCTTCCGAGGTGCCAGGCGCTCCTGGAATTTTTAAAAGTAGCCTTGAGCAGCGGTTTTAAACTTTCTCACCCATTTTCAGTCCAGTCCTTGGACCTGAGTCACCTAACACTAGGGCTGCCACAAACGATTATTCTGATAGTCGACTA